CTGGTGAGAGTTCGCGTGCTCTTCATCACCGTGCAGCATTCGAGTGTATTAAGCAACGATGACAGTATGACCGTTACCTTGGCCCCTGTGTCATTCTTCATCAACACCGGTGTTCCATTCAGGGATACGGTGGCCATCCATGGCCCATCACCGTCGACCGAACCCAAAAAGTACTCTTCGGGTTCACTGGAGACAGAGGCCATCTCCTGCTGTGTCGGCCTTGGCTTCTTGGACTGACACACTCTAGCGAAATGACCCTCCTTCCCACAGGAGCGACAAGAAGAGTTTCTCGATGGGCGTTGTGAGCGATCTTTCTCTGTACTTCCACAAAACAGAAACTTGTCTGGACTCCTCCTGGAGCTCTAATACTTAGACCATAGACCATAGCCAAAGAAAGTACTCGTAGAGATGGAGAGCAAGACTTGGATGTAGAGCCTAAGGGTTACCAGACGGAAGATGAGAGTCATAAAGAAATACCGGGTGTCCTATAGTCAATGCGGTTCAAATGATGATGAATTGCGTTTCACCGATTTATGGCGCACACGTAGTTTGTGTGAATTCAAAGTATTGGTCGCTGTAATCATTAGGAAGCACAACCCCAACCTTTCCATCCAGAAAGAAATTGTCACTTAACTTAAACTATTCACGTAGCTTTCAGACACACAGACACACCCACACACATGCATGCACGCACCCACGTACGCACACGCACGCACACACATGCACGCGTACACACACATAACTACATTACATGCATACACACGGCACATACGCACACACGCGCACACACACACCTTCCTCCTTCCTTCTTCCACTGCCATGACTGGCTACGTGGCCCATCAGGGGCAGACCAGGAGACGTGTTGTACACAGGGCGGGGAACGCCAGACTTAGCGCGCGCGGGCTGCGCGAACAGCGTTACATTTGTGCCTCGCAATATCCTGTGGCCGACGAAAACTGCGCTCACAAGTGCCACAGATGAGGGGCTTCGCCACAGGCTCCATGCGGGACTGGACAATAGCGTCACGGCAAGTGGCCCGCCATCCCTGTTGATCTTGGTCGATGTCACCAAGCTGCTCCAGAGGAACGCCAACAGCCATCAAGTTGCACTTTGCGGAGTCCTTCCAGCGCTCATGGGTCCATGCGGTGGACGTTTGGACGGTAACGAGCCGTCCAGCAGCTGACGAGGGATTCGATCCTGCACGCGGTACACGTGGCCAAGCCATCGAAGTCGGCAGACTTTGACTTTATCCGCGATCTCCTTCATATCGCCCCACATCTTGCACACCTGGAGAGAGGAGATGTGCTCCTCTATCTCCCAGCCACGATTGACCTTCAGGATGGAACGCACGCACTGCAGATGAAAGGATTCCAGGCGACGGACATCACGCTGCCTAACGGTGCAACTCTCAGAGCCATAAAGAAGGACGGCCAGGACAGTCACTCCATAGACAACGCCCTTAATGGCCATGTTAATAAAGCACACACACACACACGCACACACACACATGTACCCGTACACACACATACATACATACACACATGAACACATGCATACACCTTGAACCTTGAACCTTGAACGCCCATTGCCGTAGCAATGATAGCGATGGCTTCCTCACACTGAGGTTCTAGACGCGAAATCTGCAGTATGGTGCATGCCGCTTGAAGTCACCAGGACGGCGGAACACTCTGTCACAGCGGTAGTTGGGGCACGGGATGTCTGGGGCTTCCTTCTCGACCCTCTGTCGACAACACTGAAACCAGACGGATCTCTCCTGCGCTGTGTCATACCAGTCCGCTTCAGACAAACCGATGAGAGTAAAGTCTGAGGTCACAACATCCCGCCAGCGCATCTTGGGACCATGTTGCGGGCGTTTGCAGGGCAGTTCGCCGACCAGCATCTACTTGGGCAGCCGGGTCTCCTTCATCCGTGCAACGTGACCAAGCCACCGCAAGCGGTGCTTCCTGATCACATCAACCATGTCAACGTCCACCCCTGTCAGCTCACTCAGCGATGCCGACGACAATCTCTCCTCCCATTGCTCACGACGAGAGATACCGAGAATTGTGCGAATACACTGATGGTGAAAGGTGTTGAGTCGGCGAATATGACCCGCTTTGATGGGCCATGTCTCCGCACCGTAGAGAAGAGCAGGAAGGACAATAGCACGATACACCAGCCGCTTGGTGTGAACCGAGAGATGTACGCACTGAATCATCGGAGACATGAGCACACCGAACAGCCGGGACGCCTGCGCCAAACGAGCAGCGAGGTCCGCATCCACCGTTCTGTCAGCAGAGAGCACGCTGCCAAGGTACCGGAACCCATCCACCATGTCAATCCTGCTGTCACCACCGAGTCGAACGGGATCAACTGATGTTGGTTCACCCACCGCCATGCCCTTCGTCTTTCTAATGCTGACTGTCAGTCCCATACGCACACACATAAATACACAGCCCCCCCCCCCTCCCAACACACACACACACCACATGTGCGCGCACACACACACACATATACACACACACACACACATACACACACACACAAATGCACACATATACATGACGTACAACCTACACTCTGCACTCTCTTGCACTGTTATTTACCTCAAGCGTAGTGATTATTTACCCTCTTATTTTGGTTTTTCACTCCACGTACGCGTGTCATTAGTTCACACTAACTTGACATCTTTGCACTTTCCCCTGTTCCTTGACACATTTATATAATTATTAGTAGTATTCATGGCTAGTTATCATTGTTGAGACATATTTCCCTGATGAAGGCCTCATGAAAACTGGTTGAGAAAATCTAGAACTCCAAAACGAGAGACCTTGGAAGCTCAGGGCCCTACGCTATGCTTTTTTGCCTAGCTCATCATGCATGTTATTAGAACTGATGGAATTGTTTTTTTTCCATTAATTGGCTACATCAAACTTTCTCTTTGCACTCGAGGGTAATACAACACCGTCTACCACCTTGATAACCTAGGCAAAAAAGCAAAGGGATGTTATAAATTTTTCATTTCTCCTATTTTTTAAGACATAACCTGGGATTCGAACCCACACTATCGCCCTGCATGCATTCCCCCGATACACTTAGCTTACATACTCATTCTTCCAAGTTGCTTCACGTTATGATCTTGCATTTGAAAGCCCTATTTTTCATTACAATATTGTGGCTAGCTGTCTTTGATGGTCCGGTACGGGACAGGTACGGGATAGCGCCAGGCATCTTTTCCGTTTGCCGTTCTTCGGCCACAGCTCTTGCCTTCATCTCTGGTGCGGGTGTAATCTAGTGACTTCGTATATGCGTTATAATAGACCAATCCCTTTGTCTGGGCTCGTGAAAAGGGCCACGCGTGCAAGTCAGCTCGTGTGAAGTGCATGGTTTTGTATTTAGTTGGTATGTGGCAGCTTATGGGACAAAGAGACTTTTGCTCCCTGAGCTTGTGTATGTAAATAGTTTTTTACGTCGGGTATGACAGCTACAATGCCCAACCATACCACAACGAACTGATCGGCTACATCATTGCGTTGCCAAAAAATTCTGTCTGTTCGAATTACATGCATGATGAGCTAGCCAAAAAAAGGATAGCATGGGGCCCTGCGCGAAAGAAATAGCCTTTCTCTTTGCATTCGAAAGTAATACGACACCGTCTACCACCTTGATGACCTGGGCAAAACATGGATAGGGATGTTATGAATTGTTCATTTCTCTTTTTTTTCCCCAAGACATAACCTAGGATTAGAACCCGCACTATCGCGATCATGCATCCCTCGATACACTTCGCATACATACTCATTCTTCCAAGTTGCTTCACGTTCGGATCTTGCATATGAAAGCCCTATTTGAATATTGTGGCCGGCTGTCTTTCGTGGTACGGTACGTACGGGACAGGTACGGGATAGCGCCAGGCATGCCGATGGCACAAACAAACAAACAAACTGAGGCTTCCTGCAGCTTCATCTGTGAAAAGAATTCGGGACTGGTTCGGATGGGATGTGCAGCGCTATGGGAATAGGTGTGTCCACCCGAATTCTTTTTTAGTACCGTACTGGCAATATATGTTGCCGCAGTGAGGCCATGAAGCGTTACATTGGCACATGTTTGCCGCACGCAGGGCGTTACATGCAAAGTCGCACAGGAGCCGTTACACAGGTTTCTATATTGCCGCAGTCCTTTTTTTGCTATTGCAGGACTTCCTGCTGCGTCCAGTTTTGAACTTTTCACCACGCGGTACACGTGCTTTCACAGTTTTCAGCCTTTTTTGCAATGAAAAGATCGCCGCACCCCGCCGGACGCGCGTTACGAACTCAACGAAAATTTGTCGCACTAGCCTGGTCGCGCGTTATGCCTCACCCCCCTGCGTTACGCGTTACGCGGCAACATATATTGCCAGTACGGTATGTCTATTGGTGGGGGAATATAAGGCTGAAACAACAGCAACCTCACCGATTATTTGCTCCAAGAGTACCTGTGACTATTGGTGACTCCCCTACCCGGCACTGATACCTGCATAAAGCACGTTCCATATCCTGACATCGTAGTAATTCTGCAACTTCTAGCACTTCTGACACCATGTAGTATTCAGGTTCTTTAGGAATTAGGATACTATTGTATTATTGATTCACAGGCAACATGAAAGAGAAACCTTTTTTTAAATGTGGCATCAGCAGACCCCAGCTGTAAGAGGTACTACGCGGGCGTGTACATGTTGCGGTACACGTAACTTGTGTACACGTTATGTAAGGGTTACACGTGCTCAAGAGAAACGCATAATACATAGCATGACACGACAAGTACCACAGCTGTCACTATTGTGCTAACTTTTACACGTTATGACTAATCAGAATCATGCTTATAATTCTTAGAGCTGGGTAACTACAGATAACATGTAAAACTTTAGTCACAGTAGGTTATACATCATAATTGTGTAAGATACAGACTGCAGATAGATAATACATATATGAAGGTATGATCTTGTCTTTGCCTGCACACAGAACGGTGACCTTCCTGTTCATTACGCTGCTTGGAAAGGACATCTGGACGTGGTCAAGTATCTAGTAGATCTCCAACCCGACACGGTCTCCGTAAAGAACAAAGTGAGTCGAGCAGTCTCTGTCACTGTATTGGTCCTAATTGCACACTCCAAGAGTGTGACATTTGGCAAATGACTGACTACATGGTGCATTCCCTATATCATGCAGGTCACTTTTCCATTGTATAACTATTATGTAAGTGTTTGTGTTTGTGTTTCGAAGACACCGTCATTCATAGCGAGGCGCTATTGTGTTGCATTAGATTTTCTGGTAGTAGCTACTTGTAGGAGGAACATTTCCAGCTGATCAATCAGAGTAGTCTATATTAGGATTCCTTGACTAACAGTAGATTGTACATCATACTGGTATGTAAGATACAGACTGCAGGTAGATAATACATATATTGAGGTATGATCTTGTCTTTGCCTGCACACAGTACGGTAACCTTCCTGTTCATCGCGCTGCTATATATGGACGTCTGGAAGTCGTCAAGTATCTACTAGATCACCAACCCTACACAGTTTCCGTGAACAACAAAGTGAGTCAAATATTCTCTGCCACTGTAGTTATTATGGGTGTATAACACAAGAGTGTGCAACTTTGGCCAATGACTGACTAGAATCTAGATTCCCTACATCAGCCCACATCGAAAAAGTCCTTAGTTTCGTGTAACCCAACCGACCTCTGTTTTGAGCACAGACCGATACTTCTTTGTTGTATGCACTCATGCATATGTACATCATACGCATGTGGATATATATGTACGTGCTCGCACTTCAAGTTGTGCCAAAGCCAGGGCTCTTTCTTCCTGCTCAAGGTTATGCTCAGGCCGGCTAGACATTTCGGTCCTTTGTTTCGAGTAGACTCGATCGAGTCGGATTTGTTGCATGGTGGTTTTATTTGCCAAACGTAACGTTTTTGACACTGACAAATTTAAGTTTAGAGATTTTAATGTCAAAATGTTTCTGTCACTATGCTGACGGCGGCTGGACCGTCGTCAACAGCCGCAGTGCATTGTTCAAGTTACGTACCCGGAGCAATTTGTTGGTAAACTCTTCATCCAGAAGATGTCGCTCACTTCGAAGTGGTTTTACTTCTGAAACCGGGTCATGCCGCAAGGGTGCTGGCAGGAGTGAAAATGTAGGACTTCAATTGGAGTTCGGACGCCAATTCTTTTTCTTTGGGTTGGAGCAACAGGAAGATGTAGTTCCTGGCCCTCGACGGTTGCTGAACGATGTGTTGATGCCCAACGTCTCGGAGATCTGCTGTGCGCGGTATCTGAGTTTAGGACTAGTTTGACTGTTCTTTTTTACTCTCTTTCTCACTCCTGTGTGCAGCCACACCATATATTCTCACACCCCTAACACACCTCACTCACACGCACACCCCGCCCCCACCCCCCACACACACACAACATCAACAACAATCAACCCTCTCTTCTGCGGGGACAGCATCAACAGCAAGAAGAAAAAGAATACTCGGGATCCCTTGTCTGCTAGCCCACTCTTGCCAGCGCTGAAATGTCGATGAATACTTGGTCACCGTTCCCAGTGCCCTACTCGCCAGCATGACTTCTAGAATCTTCCTGGATAGGTTCATGAGTTCCTGGGTTGGCTGCGTTTGAACCGCCCTCAGCTCTAGGCATGAACACAAGATCATAATGTGAGGAGCCTGTCAGCGACGTTCTTCAGCGTTAGCATTGGCTTCAGCATCTACAGCAGCTATCAGCATCACTTGAAGAGAATTACACGCTCATTACCAATGGGGACTCTGAGCCACCATGTTGGTCAGCAACAGCATGAGCAGCAGCATCTTCCCGCCCTGCGGGCTACGACCTCGTCATTGGCATCACCAGCAGCATCCACCCACCTTGCGAGCAATGACATTGTCAGCGGCATCTGCCTTCTGCCTGCAGGCAACGATGTTCCCTGAACACCAACATAGGACAATGCCTCGCGCACCGTGAACTCACATGTGTTCGCGCCACACAGCCATCGCAATTGTGTCAGTACACAAATCAGAAACTGTTAATCCTCATGCACAGTCTTAAAGCCAGTATTTCTGAAAATTTATGCTTGCCCCTCCCCCAGCAAGTTGTGAGGGCAGGTACCTTCGAGAAACGTGCTTTCCTCATGGGGTAGCATTACGTGCCATGGCTGCAGAACAGTTTTAAGATTCTCAAAACCCTGGGTATTAGGTGGAACGGTGGTGTAAGCCACACAATTTCTGTTGACCTATCAACCATAAAAGCATCGATCTCATCACATCCCGGATTCCACCACCATGAACAGAAATACTTTATCTGTTTCGTCCTCAGACTTGTGAAGCAATCTAGTGTATGGGGACCTCACAAACGCTCGATTTGTTCAAAAACAGCCGGGCTCAGCCGCCAGTCATCTGTGTCAACTATTTTCGAATAATAGTTCGCGAGTCCATTTTGCTCTCTGGCCACCCATTCGGCAATCAGGCAGATTCCATGCTTCATGCGCACCTGGAGGATTCGCATGGTTTCCCGTTGCAATCTTCCAGTTCATCATGCGGCTTGCAGCTCTTATACAGACAGCAATTATTCTATGTGACAAGACTCCCATGTATATCTGCAAAATACTGTTAGAATGGTTTCTGTTAGAAAACACAGCAAAAAATAATGAACATTATAACTGTAGAGAATAAAACTTGATGTGCACTCATATCACAACCATAGCGACGAATAAAGTATTCCAGGACGTTCGCATTCGTGACCCAAATCTTTGTAAAGAAAAAGAAAATATCACCGCACTCACACTCCTCCATTACATTCACACTCACATGCACTTGAACATGCCTGTACATTGCCACACTGCACTTGCTGAATTTCCTATCATTTCTCACCTATATAGTTTTTATTACCAGTGCAAATTTTTCCGAAGTTTGTGCAATTTTTCTTACTATTCTTGTATCGGCACAGTGAGTTGGTCAAAGACCATGATTGAGAAACGAGGGGTACCAGGTTCAAGCCCTGCTTGGAAGCGGAAGGATTTTTCCAACCATGCTGCGACCCACAGTTAATTGGGAACTCGTGGCGTGGCATAAGTAAAACATGGATGTGGCAAATGGGATTTAGGCCTTTGGCCTATGGTTGGTGGATCTGATCTATCCTCCCCCACCGTTTAGGAGCCACATCTGATGCCTGATCATGGGGTGGTGGCATCCCACGGAAGTTGAAAGGTGGTTCTTGACCAGGGAGTTGTACGACTCCTTGTTCTTGACCTGCCCGGTACGCGAACCCGTCGAATTTGTGTATCCTCGTGTTTTTTCACTCCAAGTGTATAAATCCTATTGTAGTTTCATCATTGTCTTTCGTCACGAATTCCATTGATAATTGTGACAAGAAAATGTTCTGGAATACCTTTTTCGTCGCTATGGTTGTGATATGAGTGCGCATATAGTTTTATTCATTGCATTATTAAGATTATTGTCTCCACGTCGCCTTTTTACATAACTGTAGAGCACGAGAATACAGTACAATTATTGTGGATCGTTCTGGTCATAGATGGCAACATTGCTTTCAGAGATATGGGAAAGGGTTGCTTGATGTTGACCGCACAGGATCCATCCATTCCACGATATGGCAATTGTCATCAATTCCAGTAGAGTACAGGCACTCGTGACATCAACATATCCGTTTGGTTGTTGCTGCTATGGCTGTGTTTAGGATGGGAGAACTCCTCTTGGTGAAGCAGCGTACAGGGGGGAAGCAGGTTGTGTACCCTACTTGTTGGAAGTCACCTGGACCAAGCTAGCATATGATGAGGTAAGAGTTGAAAAAAATAGGTTGTGTGATGAATAGGTCTACCAGTTTTGTCTATGAAAACATGCTCGGTTACTGTGAAAACCTTTGCTCTGGAACTACTCTCCACCCCCCCCCCCCCCCCCCCTCCCTCACCTGCACAAGTTCTTATCAGTTTGATATGATTTTTGTTCCTCAAACAGGTAGCTTTATATAAGGTTGGATAACATGGACGATCTCTATGGAAGCCGGTTGGAATATGATGAAAGAGTACTTTCTGCAGATAAAATGCGTTAGAAAAGATTAGCATGCGTTTTTCTCTAGTCTATTTCGTCACTGTCTACTTCAAGGTGTGTTGAGTGGCATCATCGCGTATAGTGCATCTCTGTTTACCCTTCACTTTAGTCAACTTCTTTTGAGCATGATGTTAAGTATTGAGCAGTGACAGAATGTTCTATCATTTCTTACTGTGCACCTGTGCTATATACGGTGTAAGAAGTAAAATGGCGGGTGTGTTTTTCTGTGGTATTTTGGATATGTGATAGTTATTGTGACCAGTGAAATTGATGACACTGAAGAGTGTATCGCTATACCAATATTGGTTCTATGTTTCCAATCCAGGCAAAGGAGATTGTGGAGGAAGCCAGAAGGATAGTTCAAACCCGCGGAAATACGCAATCATTGGACTTGATTAAGGTGAAACATGTCGTTAAAATTATAGGATTACTAACCCTTTGCTTGTGGATGACAGGAATGAATAATTGGTACGAGTTGGGAGTAATGACCCACCGATGTAACCAGATCAAATAGAAATACAGTTAGAAGCTGTGACAATGCACAAGACTGACAAGATTCTGAGGCATTCAACACTCTGACACCTAGGTCCAACATATCTCCAAAGCGAAAAGCCAATAACGTTCCAAGGTGGAAAGCTCAGGTTAGGGAAGTCCAATGAGGAGACGTTCAGTGCAAACAGCATGATAACAAGTAATAGTTACATCTCACATGCTAAAGGTGGAGTTGGGGTGGTGGGTAGGGTAAGTGTGGTGGTGGGGGGGGGGGGGTGAATTGGAGTAGCATTGATCCTTATTGGAGACAGGAGAGAACAGGAGAAGCCCAAGATTGCGTTACATCAACACGCACAATTCGAGTAGGGAACGAGAGGGAGGATGAGAGAGAAGGAACGAAAAGCAGTGAAAGAATGAAAAGCAGTGAAGAGGTAATGCGAGTGAGGGTGAGAGAGAGAAAAAGAATGGGAGAGGTCTTTCTACATTTCTTGATGAATTCACTCAAAGACATTGCAATAATGAAGTGACTGATCGACAGAGAGCTGGCAAGATTACTATCAATGTCTCTGTTGATCGTCATTCGAGTCTCAAGGCAACAATTGACAGCCATGTATTGATAGAACCCGCAACTCACTCAGGGATAACCCTATAATTGTATTGTCACAGCAATGGGATACCTGGTTGGATCTGATTGCTCACGATCACCAGCAACGGTAGGCACTGAAATTGGCTATTCAAATGTTCTGGCTAAGAGCAGATAATCCAAGAGTAACAACAGAGGTCACGGGGAAGAGTAGATCAGGATCGCAAGGGACGACAGAGTCAGTACACAATGACAAGACATAATGAGGTGAAATGAGTGTCGAATGTCACCATTTGGTAGAATACAAAACTGGAGACATATTTCTCTTCTAGTGCTCTCGGTGTTGTAGCAAGCAGAGCAGTCAGATTAGTGATCATTCATTTCTGCTGCGGGCACCGACACAGGATGTGGATAGCTAATGTGAGAAACTCTCCTCTAAAATCTCATTGAATTCCTGGACAGACTGTGATGAGTTGTGTGTGATTATGATGATTCACACTATACTAGTGTACTGCTCCTTGAGCCCGTGCACTATGCACTCATACATCAATTGTCCTCATACTTGGGTTGTAGTACTGGTTACATTGAACAACCTGACAGCAACTAGTCTACTGTCAGATGTAAGCTAGTGTCTAGTGTCAGATGTAAGCTAGTGTCTAGTGTCTAGTGTCTAGTGTCTAGTGTCTAGTGTCTAGTGTACATGCATGCCCAGCTATGTAGAAATACTGTAATATCTACAGTTGCGCTCTGTGAAATTCGACCCGTGTCCATATTTGGCAATCTCAACTTGCCCGGCGCTTAGCGCTCGGGACGTAAATATGGACAATACTGTAATCGGAACTGATCGAGGGCGCCGGCTTTGGCATTTTGGTTGAATTTCACAGAGCGACACTGCAGTTCATGACAGTGTTCAACTTACATACTTTGGGTATTGTTGTTGTGTGCTGCATATGTATGCTCCAGACCAGCTTGATCTATGCAGAGTTTGGTATTGAGGGTTACACTGATCCTACTGAACTGATTGCCAATGTGTGTGGGGCAGAAGGTTCAGGAAAATCTACCTTCATTGCATCCTTCACAGCAGAAGGTTTCTTCAATAAACGGCTACGCAAGGAGAATCAACCGGACCTGAAGGCAAAAGATTTAGCATCCCGAACAAAGGTGAATTGAAAGCAATGTAGAATGCACAAAGTGCTGCAGGTTGTAATTTGGATGAATGTATTATTAGTCCAAATGTGAGTGACAAGTTTTGTTTCATTCCAAATAAGCACAAATCAACATGAACGGGGAAGTGCAGAATGTAGGTGTTATGAACCCTATCAAAAACGCTAAGCCAATAACAAGGAGAAAGAGAGGTAAACAGAGCTGGGAAGAGTGACTGGTGAAATGTTCATGCTGGTGTCTGCAAGTGTTGTGTGGTCTTATCTGGTCACAAGACAAATCTACCAGTACTAAGAAATGACAGACCAAATGAAGATTGCATTAGCAATCTACAAATTACAACCCAGACAATTGTGGAAATATAACTGATAAAGTCATCGTGGTATGCGATATAAATGACTGAAGGTACTTTGATTATTGGTTGTCGATTGGTTCTCTTTCTAATTTTCTATCAATAACTGATTATATTGCTATGTAAGTATGTTATATACACATAGTATTACTACCAGAACTACCGTACTGGCGCGATTAGAGCCCTCTCTCGAATAGCGGCCAAGTTTGGTTTTCTTTTGCTAACTTTCTTGTCCATGTCACCTTACTGGTGGTTTCAGGATCAAAATCACAATTCTTGTTGCCATTTCTGGGGAGTCGTGATAGTTTAGAGTGAACATTAGGCTCTGTTTTTGTTTTTTGCCTTCTTTGCTTTTAATAAAAGCAAAGAAGGCAAAAAACAAAAAAAGCCTTTATCATGGGTAACGTAATGTGCCAGTATTGAAAGATAGTGCCCCCTAGTGCCCCAGGGGCACTAGGGGGCACTAATCGCGGGAGTACAGTATTCTGTTGCTGTAGAACAGTGTGGTTGCAGTGAGCTAAGTATGATTCATACACTGTTCTCTTTCTCAGGGCACATTAATTTTGATTTTTTATCTGTTCCATATAGGGAATTGAAGAAACCATTTACAACCAATCGCAGGTGAAGGTGCATTTTCGCGACTTTGCTGGCCAAGAGCATTACACCGAGTCGCATGACATATTCACGGTTGCCATGACAGCACCATCTGTTGCCGCAATAGTGGTGGACGGCACAGAGGTGGTTGATGAGATCACACAGACTGTCAGTGCAACCGCAGCCAATATTGTTTGTCGCCTGTCTGCACCTGATGATGGTAAGTGATTAGCAATGAATGATTTTCTTGCATGTCACATGATCCCTTCTCGCAATGTTGAACACTGCAACTAAATCCCAACCTGCAATCACAAAGTTAAAACGAAAGGCACAAACCGTTCCAGTTTCCTGTTCAATCATAACTTTTCTCTGCAGAAAACGAGCAACAGTTGATCACCAGCCTGCCCTGGTTCCCATATCACTCAAACTAGTTATACAGTTACATGATCTTGGGATGGAGAGACATGCCACCTACTCCATTTGGTATACAAGCGGAAAATGGGAATTCTATGCTGTCCGGGATTGATTAGCTGCGTAATCATGGACTGGTATTCCTTGTTATTGGCAATTGTGTCACTTTGTCTTCGTGAATTATCAGGCCCTCTACAGACTGAGCAACAAGACCAGCAGCACCACCAGCACCGCCAGCAGCAGACGCAGCAGCAGCAGCAACAACACCAGGAAGAACTGCAACAGGCGCAGAGAATTGATGTCATTGCGATTGCCACACGAGCTGATAAGCTAACACCTGAAGAGTGCACTGAAGTGGAGAAGGCCATAAGGAGGGGAATGAAAGCATTCTCTCAGCACTTGGATCTCTGCTTTGTGAGAGTAGTGGACGCTAGAAAGTCCAACAGTTACAGCATGAATGATCTAAGGAGAGATTTCATGCACTTGGTCCATCGAGTGTTGGCGGTAAGATTTCTTCTTTGGCCGAATTTGATAACCTTTCTCTGTCTTGGGTGTTGGTCGAGTAGCTGGTCGAGTAGCCCCCCACAAGGATGCGCTTTACAGAACCGCTATGCATTTAATTGTTTTATGGTACAATGCAAAATGAAAATATCACCACTCAGTAGGCCTATATTGCCCTGTCAATACACTGATGTTGATGGGAAAAGGCGCAACATCATATTGGTCTTATACTTCTATTAAAATTTGCGCTGTCCTGCCGAAATGTGAAGCATGCGACCTGCAAGATGTGTGTTTGTGTGGAAATTGCTGACCAACTCTCACACAGTACATTGGTGCATCAGTCATGCACATACTAGAGTGACGGGGTGTGCAAAGTCAGTTAGTACTAATTGATATTGTGAGTGTAAAGAAGAGGCTGGTGCGACTTCGGCGATACTTGGGGAATTGTGTGTTGCTGCATACTTGGCAGCTAGTGCTTTCCCTGCCGACTTGAATTCTCACTTGACTGACTCACGACTGCCATCCAGGGTACACAAGAAGTCTATCGAACCGTCCACTCGGAAAACCTGCAAGAAAGCACCACTCCCTGCTCAATACACAGTGTGTCGGGGAATATAACCCTCATCAGTTGAGCTTGAGTAGGCTGAGGAAGATTGTGCCTGAAAAGCACCACTTATATAGTCCTCTCCAGGCCAAATCATCACCAGGGATACAAATTTACAGAGACACTCCATTTCCAGCGCGGAAAGCATGGAGGTGCTGAAAAAACGCTGAGGACCGTTGGCGACTCACAACATTGTTGCTTCCAAACCAACGAATTCGCAAGCTCGCACTGGGGTCAACAATGTTCAGCACCTCCATGAGCGACACTGACTCACGCTGCAATCTGGTGTTCACGTGATGTTTGCCGCGCTGAAAATGGAGTGTCTTTGTAAGTTTGTATCCCTGGTGATGATTTGGCCTGGAGAGGACTAATTTTAAAAGTGGTGCTTTTCAGACACAATCTTCTTTTCTCTAGTCTATTTCGTCACTGTCTACTTCAAGGTGTGTTGAGTGGCATCATCGCGTATAGTGCATCTCTGTTTACCCTTCACTTTAGTCAACTTCTTTTGAGCATGATGTTAAGTATTGAGCAGTGACAGAATGTTCTATCATTTCTTACTGTGCACCTGTGCTATATACGGTGTAAGAAGTAAAATGGCGGGTGTGTTTTTCTGTGGTATTTTGGATATGTGATAGTTATTGTGACCAGTGAAATTGATGACACTGAAGAGTGTATCGCTATACCAATATTGGTTCTATGTTTCCAATCCAGGCAAAGGAGATTGTGGAGGAAGCCAGAAGGATAGTTCAAACCCGCGGAAATACGCAATCATTGGACTTGATTAAGGTGAAACATGTCGTTAAAATTATAGGATTACTAACCCTTTGCTTGTGGATGACAGGAATGAATAATTGGTACGAGTTGGGAGTAATGACCCACCGATGTAACCAGATCAAATAGAAATACAGTTAGAAGCTGTGACAATGCACAAGACTGACAAGATTCTGAGGCATTCAACACTCTGACACCTAGGTCCAACATATCTCCAAAGCGAAAAGCCAATAACGTTCCAAGGTGGAAAGCTCAGGTTAGGGAAGTCCAATGAGGAGACGTTCAGTGCAAACAGCATGATAACAAGTAATAGTTACATCTCACATGCTAAAGGTGGAGTTGGGGTGGTGGGTAGGGTAAGTGTGGTGGTGGGGGGGGGGGGGGGGTGAATTGGAGTAGCATTGATCCTTATTGGAGACAGGAGAGAACAGGAGAAGCCCAAGATTGCGTTACATCAACACGCACAATTCGAGTAGGGAACGAGAGGGAGGATGAGAGAGAAGGAACGAAAAGCAGTGAAAGAATGAAAAGCAGTGAAGAGGTAATGCGAGTGAGGGTGAGAGAGAGAAAAAGAATGGGAGAGGTCTTTCTACATTTCTTGATGAATTCACTCAAAGACATTGCAATAATGAAGTGACTGATCGACAGAGAGCTGGCAAGATTACTATCAATGTCTCTGTTGATCGTCATTCGAGTCTCAAGGCAACAATTGACAGCCATGTATTGATAGAACCCGCAACTCACTCAGGGATAACCCTATAATTGTATTGTCACAGCAATGGGATACCTGGTTGGATCTGATTGCTCACGATCACCAGCAACGGTAGGCACTGAAATTGGCTATTCAAATGTTCTGGCTAAGAGCAGATAATCCAAGAGTAACAACAGAGGTCACGGGGAAGAGTAGATCAGGATCGCAAGGGACGACAGAGTCAGTACACAATGACAAGACATAATGAGGTGAAATGAGTGTCGAATGTCACCATTTGGTAGAATACAAAACTGGAGACATATTTCTCTTCTAGTGCTCTCGGTGTTGTAGCAAGCAGAGCAGTCAGATTAGTGATCATTCATTTCTGCTGCGGGCACCGACACAGGATGTGGATAGCTAATGTGAGAAACTCTCCTCTAAAATCTCATTGAATTCCTGGACAGACTGTGATGAGTTGTGTGTGATTATGATGATTCACACTATACTAGTGTACTGCTCCTTGAGCCCGTGCACTATGCACTCATACATCAATTGTCCTCATACTTGGGTTGTAGTACTGGTTACATTGAACAACCTGACAGCAACTAGTCTACTGTCAGATGTAAGCTAGTGTCTAGTGTCAGATGTAAGCTAGTGTCTAGTGTCTAGTGTCTAGTGTCTAGTGTCTAGTGTCTAGTGTACATGCATGCCCAGCTATGTAGAAATACTGTAATATCTACAGTTGCGCTCTGTGAAATTCGACCCGTGTCCATATTTGGCAATCTCAACTTGCCCGGCGCTTAGCGCTCGGGACGTAAATATGGACAATACTGTAATCGGAACTGATCGAGGGCGCCGGCTTTGGCATTTTGGTTGAATTTCACAGAGCGACACTGCAGTTCATGACAGTGTTCAACTTACATACTTTGGGTATTGTTGTTGTGTGCTGCATATGTATGCTCCAGACCAGCTTGATCTATGCAGAGTTTGGTATTGAGGGTTACACTGATCCTACTGAACTGATTGCCAATGTGTGTGGGGCAGAAGGTTCAGGAAAATCTACCTTCATTGCATCCTTCACAGCAGAAGGTTTCTTCAATAAACGGCTACGCAAGGAGAATCAACCGGACCTGAAGGCAAAAGATTTAGCATCCCGAACAAAGGTGAATTGAAAGCAATGTAGAATGCACAAAGTGCTGCAGGTTGTAATTTGGATGAATGTATTATTAGTCCAAATGTGAGTGACAAGTTTTGTTTCATTCCAAATAAGCACAAATCAACATGAACGGGGAAGTGCAGAATGTAGGTGTTATGAACCCTATCAAAAACGCTAAGCCAATAACAAGGAGAAAGAGAGGTAAACAGAGCTGGGAAGAGTGACTGGTGAAATGTTCATGCTGGTGTCTGCAAGTGTTGTGTGGTCTTATCTGGTCACAAGACAAATCTACCAGTACTAAGAAATGACGGACCAAATGAAGATTGCATTAGCAATCTACAAATTACAACCCAGACAATTGTGGAAATATAACTGATAAAGTCATCGTGGTATGCGATATAAATGACTGAAGGTACTTTGATTATTGGTTGTCGATTGGTTCTCTTTCTAATTTTCTATCAATAACTGATTATATTGCTATGTAAGTATGTTATATACACATAGTATTACTACCAGAACTACCGTACTGGCGCGATTAGAGCCCTCTCTCGAATAGCGGCCAAGTTTGGTTTTCTTTTGCTAACTTTCTTGTCCATGTCACCTTACTGGTGGTTTCAGGATCAAAATCACAATTCTTGTTGCCATTTCTGGGGAGTCGTGATAGTTTAGAGTGAACATTAGGCTCTGTTTTTGTTTTTTGCCTTCTTTGCTTTTAATAAAAGCAAAGAAGGCAAAAAACAAAAAAAGCCTTTATCATGGGTAACGTAATGTGCCAGTATTGAAAGATAGTGCCCCCTAGTGCCCCAGGGGCACTAGGGGGCACTAATCGCGGGAGTACAGTATTCTGTTGCTGTAGAACAGTGTGGTTGCAGTGAGCTAAGTATGATTCATACACTGTTCTCTTTCTCAGGGCACATTAATTTTGATTTTTTATCTGTTCCATATAGGGAATTGAAGAAACCATTTACAACCAATCGCAGGTGAAGGTGCATTTTCGCGACTTTGCTGGCCAAGAGCATTACACCGAGTCGCATGACATATTCACGGTTGCCATGACAGCACCATCTGTTGCCGCAATAGTGGTGGACGGCACAGAGGTGGTTGATGAGATCACACAGACTGTCAGTGCAACCGCAGCCAATATTGTTTGTCGCCTGTCTGCACCTGATGATGGTAAGTGATTAGCAATGAATGATTTTCTTGCATGTCACATGATCCCTTCTCGCAATGTTGAACACTGCAACTAAATCCCAACCTGCAATCACAAAGTTAAAACGAAAGGCACAAACCGTTCCAGTTTCCTGTTCAATCATAACTTTTCTCTGCAGAAAACGAGCAACAGTTGATCACCAGCCTGCCCTGGTTCCCATATCACTCAAACTAGTTATACAGTTACATGATCTTGGGATGGAGAGACATGCCACCTACTCCATTTGGTATACAAGCGGAAAATGGGAATTCTATGCTGTCCGGGATTGATTAGCTGCGTAATCATGGACTGGTATTCCTTGTTATTGGCAATTGTGTCACTTTGTCTTCGTGAATTATCAGGCCCTCTACAGACTGAGCAACAAGACCAGCAGCACCACCAGCACCGCCAGCAGCAGACGCAGCAGCAGCAGCAACAACACCAGGAAGAACTGCAACAGGCGCAGAGAATTGATGTCATTGCGATTGCCACACGAGCTGATAAGCTAACACCTGAAGAGTGCACTGAAGTGGAGAAGGCCATAAGGAGGGGAATGAAAGCATTCTCTCAGCACTTGGATCTCTGCTTTGTGAGAGTAGTGGACGCTAGAAAGTCCAACAGTTACAGCATGAATGATCTAAGGAGAGATTTCATGCACTTGGTCCATCGAGTGTTGGCGGTAAGATTTCTTCTTTGGCCGAATTTGATAACCTATCTCTGTCTTGAGTGTTGGTCGAGTAGCTGGTCGAGTAGCCCCCCACAAGGATGCGCTTTACAGAACCGCTATGCATTTAATTGTTTTATGGTACAATGCAAAATGAAAATATCACCACTCAGTAGGCCTATATTGCCCTGTCAATACACTGATGTTGATAGGAAAAGGCGCAACATCATATTGGTCTTATACTTCTATTAAAATTTGCGCTGTCCTGCCGAAATGTGAAGCATGCGACCTGCAAGATGTGTGTTTGTGTGGAAATTGCTGACCAACTCTCACACAGTACATTGGTGCATCAGTCATGCACATACTAGAGTGACGGGGTGTGCAAAGTCAGTTAGTACTAATTGATATTGTGAGTGTGAAGAAGAGGCTGGTGCGACTTCGGCGATACTTGGGGAATTGTGTGTTGCTGCATACTTGGCAGCTAGTGCTTTCCCTGCCGACTTGAATTCTCACTTGACTGACTCACGACTGCCATCCAGGGTACACAAGAAGTCTATCGAACCGTCCACTCGGAAAACCTGCAAGAAAGCACCACTCCCTGCTCAATACACAGTGTGTCGGGGAATATAACCCTCATCAGTTGAGCTTGAGTAGGCTGAGGAAGATTGTGCCTGAAAAGCACCACTTATATAGTCCTCTCCAGGCCAAATCATCACCAGGGATACAAATTTACAGAGACACTCCATTTCCAGCGCGGAAAGCATGGAGGTGCTGAAAAAACGCTGAGGACCGTTGGCGACTCACAACATTGTTGCTTCCAAACCAACGAATTCGCAAGCTCGCACTGGGGTCAACAATGTTCAGCACCTCCATGAGCGACACTGACTCACGCTGCAATCTGGTGTTCACGTGATGTTTGCCGCGCTGAAAATGGAGTGTCTTTGTAAGTTTGTATCCCTGGTGATGATTTGGCCTGGAGAGGACTAATTTTAAAAGTGGTGCTTTTCAGACACAATCTTCTTCAGCCTACTGAAGCTCAACTGATGAAGGGTGAATTCCCCGAAACACTGTGTATTGAGCAGGGAGTGGTGCTTTCTTGCAGGTTTGCCGAGTGGACGGTTCGATAGACTTCTTCTGTACCCTGGATGGCAGTCGTGAGCCAGGCAAGTGAGAATTCATGTGGCAGGAAAAGAGCGGGCTCCCACGTATGCAGCAACACATAATTCCTTTTCCTTATAAGAAGTTCTGCGCAAATCCACATAGATACAATGTTAGTGTTGTATTGTACAAGAACATACTAGGTTTCTCGTGTGCTCTGTATGACAGTCGTGAGTCAGTGAAGTGTCAAGTCAAGTCGGCGGAAAAGTGCGAGCTCCCGTGTGGCAAGCAAACGCTTTCACATGCCACTACCACTAATTCGCACTTTTTCAACTTTGACTACAGAAATCTCCCAAGCAACCACGTTTGCTGCAGAAGGCTCGAGAGCATTTGGATGAGGTTCAGGCATCTATGCCCAATCCATACTGCTCAAGAGATGAGTTTGTGCTGGCATTCTACAAGGCAATTCAAGGAACCGACACTGCACCGCCAGAACGATTCGCTGACAGGATAGACAGATATCTACACATCTTGAGTGCATATGGATATGTAAGAGCAATGCATGCATAGAAATGATGACATGTGATGATGAATTTCTGTGTGTACATAGAGAATGATTTCCTTGTTCA